GAGTGTTCAGCCACCTTCGGGGTCCCAGGTCCTCACATTCATTATGGAGTCTTCCCAGGACCCTTTTGGTGATGGAGAAGGCTCCAAACCGGGAGCCCCTGACCCCTCTCTGCTTCTGTGACTCGGAGAACACAGCTCCAGGCCCAAGTGAGCCACAGAGATCTTGGGATGATACTAAGGATGCCAACTATCCTAGTCCACTTGGGCTGCTATAACAAAAATATAAGCTGGGTAGCTTATCACAACAGACATTTATTTCTCAGTTCTGGAGACTAAAGTCCACACTCAGGATCCATGCAGGCCCTCTTCCTGGTTACAAACTTCCTGGTTGCTCACTGTTCTCACATGGTGGGCGGGGCAAGGAGCTTTCTGGGGCCAGCTTTTATAAGAGCACTGATCTCATTCATGCTGGCTCTCTGTTCATCACCTCACCACCTCCCAAAGGCCCTAATATCATCACCTTGGGAGTTAGATTTTAGCATATGAATTTGGGGGGTGGGGGCGGGCATTGGTGACACATTCAGTCTATAGCACCAACTTTAATGTCCGCTGACCACAGCTGGCCTCACAGAAGTCCAGCTCCCAGCTGGGCAGAGGTGACGATGGCAGGGCACATCTGGAGCAGCAACAAAAGGGGAATGGAGGGGGCAGCCAGAACCCAGCACTTAGCAGGAAGGGGCTTTTCCATTCTGGCCAGCATTGCCCTTCTGAGTTGGCATCAGAGAACTTGGGCAGTGGGTGCTGGGGTTCGGAGGAAGGCTTCTTGGGGGGGGGGGCATGTTTCTATCTATGTCATTTCTGGGTGTGTTTCTATGTCATTTCCTCTCCGCCCTTCTTGGGTGGAGCAAGGTGAGGTGTTTGTCCAAAGGTTGGAATGAGCAGGTCGGACGGATGTATTGTTCAAACAAGGAGGGCACAACAAGGAGGGCACCCTTCAAGGAGGCAGCTGACTGAGGGGACCCCAAAGCAGCCCCAAAGCAGGGACCTGGCAAAGGGCTGGACATGAGGGGCACGGCCCAATCAGATCCTGGGCCCCTGGCGGCATCCATCAACCCAGTTCTCTGGGGGTTTGCAGATACACCATGGAGGGATGGTTTGTTGGTAGAAAGAGAACAGACTGAAAGAAGGGATGGGTGGGAGAAGAGAAGGGTTGCCAATGATAAGGCTCACTTTCCTCAAGGGCCGGCCCAGGCCTCTGGAGTTTCTGCTCCGTATTTAAGAAGGGGTGTTAATCAGAGTGTAGGAGGGGGTGGCCAGCATGGAAGTGCCCGCAGAGATGGGAGCACAGGACACCTGGGGCTATGGCTCCCCAGTCGGATCTGAAGGTCAAAACCAGAATTCAAGCTGCCCCCCCACCCTTCCTTTTGCTCGTTCTGCTCAGCAGCCAGGTAGGGACAAGAAAGGTACACAGAAGGAGTCTGTCCAGGGAAGATGAGTGTGCCCATGCTTTCGTGGCAGCTGCATCATACCTGTGACCTCTGGCAGCCTGAGTCACCTGTAGGGGGCTGGCTGAGGGCTGAGATTATACCTGGGGAGGAGGGGGCCAGTGGGAAGAGACCATAGCTTCTCTGGTGAAACCAATGGCACTTACTAGTAAGCAGGCCAGGTGCCGTAGCCAGTAAGAGTGGGACGGATCCGAAAGGGGGCCTGGACTCTTGGGGCGGGGCGGGTGTGTGTGTGGGGGGGGCTGGGGAGAGGCTGGGAGCTACAGCTGCTACCTAAGTCAGGTGAGGCCTGCATGTAGGCAGGGGGGTCGGGCTCCAGCCCAGAACAGCTGGAGACTGGCACCTGACATCCAAGGGAGAGAGTGGGACAGGGCAGAGTAATTCCGAGGTGGCTTCTTCAAGAAAGACAGCCTTGCCCGGCTGGTGTGGCTCAGTGGTTAAGCACTGACCTATGAACCAGGAGGTCACAGTTTGATTCCCGGTCAGAGCACATGCCCAGGTTGTGGGCTCAATCCCCAGTGTGGGGCGTGCAGGAGGCAGTGGTCAATGATTCTCTCTCATCACTGATGTTTCTATCTCTCTCTCCCTTCCTCTCTGAAATCAATAAAAATATATTTAAAAAGAAAAAAAAGAAAGACAGCCTTCTCCAGGCAGGGGCTTGGCAGGTTGCAGGTGCCTGCCAGCTCCTAGCACATGCCAGACTCCTGGTTCCTCCGTCTAGTGAAACTCCTGTGGTTTCTGTCTGGGAGGGGGAGGGGCTGGCCTTGGCTCAGTTACCAGGATGCTCAGAGAAGGCGCCAGCCATGACCCGACCTAAAGCCTGGAGTTTTGGGGTTCTGGGGCAAGGACCAGAGCCCTTCCCTAGGGGAGGGAGGCTCTGGACACAGGGTGCAGGCCAGGCCCAGGAGTCTCAGAGGCTGGTCTCGGAGAGCGTGGACAATTGTTCCCAAGCCTCCTGGCAAATGCATTGGCTGCTGAAGCCATTCAACTCTTTGGGCCTAGATCTGGCCAAACTTGGTGCAACTCCAAGGAACAGTCTGTACCCCAAAGCCAATCCCAGGAGCAGGGACAAGCCCCCTGTCTCTAGCTCTCCATCTACCTCGGTTTCCACGTTGGGCCCCCTAAACCTTCCAGTCTCTTTTAGCAACAGCCAACCCATAATTCTCCCCCAGAGAGAGGTTGCAGGTCACTCTCAGAATCTCTAGCTCCGTGGCCGGCAAACTGCAGCTCGCGAGCCACATGCGGCTCTTTGGCCCCTTGAGTGTGGCTCTTCCACAAAATACCACGTGCGGGTGCACACGTACAGTGCGATTGAAACTTCATGGCCCATGCACAGAAGTTGGTATTTTGTGGAAGAGCCACACTCAAGGGGCCAAAGAGCCGCCTGTGCCTTGTGAGCCGCAGTTTGCCGACCACTGCTCTAGCTAATGCCACCAAAGGCTGAGGGCCATGATCTGTGACCCCTGTCTGGCCCTGGGAGAGGAGGGGGTGATAGAGGAGCAGAAGCAAAGGAAGGAGAGAAGGAAGTCCTGCAGACCACAGGTCCCAGGACCTATCACCTGGCCATCTAAGATGACACTTCATCATGCACGGCCACCAAATTCCCACGTGGTCCGTAATCGCTTCCTGTGCTGCCATGCCATTGCTAAGTGCAGCGGTTCTCAACCCGTGGGTTGCGACCCCTTTGGGGGTCGAATGACCCTTTCACAGGGGTTGCCTAAGACCATCGGAGAACACATATATAATTACATATTGTTTTTGTGATTAATTACTATGCTTTAACTATGTTCAATTTGTAACAATGAAATTGGGGGTCACCACAAGGTGAGGAACTGTATTAAAGGGTCGAAGCATTAGGAAGGTTGAGAACCACTGCCTTAGTGGATTAAAAGCGGCTCCAGGGCGGGTCTGTGACTGGCTATCCTTTAGCTCTCCCCTCCAGAGAGTGGCAGGTGGGTCCAGACACTTCACTGGGTACCTGGCTCACAGGCTGAGGGGCAAGCCCCACCCGCAGAAGCCCCCTGAGTGCCTGCCCCTATGAATGAGGGGGGATGGCAGCTGGACCGGGCATGGGCTGGGCTCCCACTCCACCTCCTGCCAGCACCCGGCTCCCTGCAGCTTTCCCTGGCCAGGCGAGGAGCAAGGGAAGAGCAGGTGGGGAACTGGCGGAGAGGTGTAACTTGAGCCGGGAGGAATTCCCTGCCCTTCCTCCAAGCTTTTATTAAAGTCGGGCGGGGAGAGGCAGACTTCCATCGGAAAATCTCCCAGGCAGCAGGGAGATGTGGGGAAGCCGCTGGGGGCTGGGAGAACCGGCGCTCAGCGCGGCAGCGGGAGGCTTCAGGCCGGCTCAAGGGCACCGAGGCCGGAGCCTACCCCGCGAGCGCAGAGGCGGTCTTCCCCTGCCATCCGTCCACTCTCCCTTCCTAGTCCCCACAGGGAACCGGATCTTAGAAGTTGGGCCCTAGCCGGTTTGGCTCAGTAGATGGAGCGTCGGCCTGCGAACTGAAAGGTCCCAGGTTCGATTCCCGTCAAGGGCACATGCCCGGGTTGTGGGCTCGATCCCCAGTGGGGGACTTGCAGGAGGCAGCCGATCCATGATTCTCTCTTATCATGGATGTTTCTATCTCTCTCTCCCTCTTTGAAATCAATAAAAATATATATATATATATAGAAGTCGGGAAAGAGTGGACCCCACTTTTAATTTGGGGCAATGGAGCTGGTGCCCTCACTATCCTGCCCCGAAGGATGGCGCTGGGCGACTCCATGGAGCCGCTGGCACTTAGACCCAGCTCTTCCCCGGGAGGCCGCACCTGATCACCCACCGGACCGACCCAGAGTGGGGGCCCCGTCCGACGCCAGACGGGCTCGGGGTGAAAAGACGTGCGGAGCCAGTCCTCTGCGCAAAGCAGCCTCGGGCGCGGAAACTCCGGTGGCTCGGAAGCGCCGGGGAGCATGGGTTTCTCTCTCGGACTCAACCTGGCCGTGGCGCGGCTTCGGTCCAAGAGCCCAAGAAAGTCGCCAAAGCGCCCCTTCCACCCGAGTCTGCGGCCTCGGAGGTTCGCAGCCCCTTCCTCATCCCGGCCCCCTCGAGTGCCTCAGTGTCCCCCAGACCAGATGCTTTCTAGTCGGGGACGCGGGGGCGCCGCCTGCTCAGCCCGTGCTCCCCCAGGGCAGCCCCCACCCCACTCGCAAAAAACGTCACGGCGCCCGCAGGGCTCTCGAGGAATCGGCCGCCGGGAGGAAGGAGGCGAGCAAGGGCTGGGGGCGTCAGAAGCGGCTCCCGGACCGGGGCTGGGGCGGAGCAGCGCCCAGGGCAGGGGAGTGGTAGGGAAGGGAGGCAAGCCCTACGCCCCCAGGGTTTGGGAAGAGGTGCACTGCACGGGGAGAGCTGGGGAGGGCGGGCGTGCCTGGCCCCTTTCTGCGACCCCCCCCATCCCTAGGGACTCGGGGGCTCGTCTCCTCGCTTCTACCTCCCGGCCGCAGCCTGCGGGCGTGGCTCCTTCCCTGCCCCCCAAGTCTCCCAGCCCCCGGCGAAGTACGGGCGGGGGTCCTTACCTCGGCATTGACTTCTGCGTCCTCCGCTGCGCCGGGGCCCAGGCAGCCCAGAGCCATCAGGAGCAGCGGCAGCAGTCGCGGCCGCGCCGCCGCCTCCCGGCCGCCAGGGAGGCTGCCCGCCCAGGACGGCCGTCCGGGCGCGCTCCGTTCGCTGCCCATGCTCGGCGCGGCCAGCCCGGCCGGGAGCGCCGCACGCGGGGCTCGCCCGCTCCGTGTCCCTTCACGCGGCTCGGAAACTTGCGACGCTCCCTGGCTCCCCGCCCGGCGGGCGCGCGGCAGACGGACTCCCGGTCCCGGTCCCCGCCGAAGCCGCAGAGGTCCCCTCGGCAAATTCCCACGCCCGCGGAGAAGCGGGCAGGGCAGATCCGGGCACGCGGAGCCGGCCCACGGGGGAGAGGGCCGGCCAGAGCCGCCAGCCGCCGGGTCCCGCAGCCTGGGCGCCCGGGGCCCGGCTCCCGAGAGCAATTGCAACTCCCGAGCCTTTGTCTGGCTCAGCGCTCCGGCCGCCCGGTCCCGCGGCGCCCCCTGCGCGCCCAGCTCTCTCTGTCCATGCCCGGGGCCGGGCGCTGCCCAGAGCGCGCGCCTCCCGCCCGGGGACCCTGCTCGCCCCGCGCCCGATCGGGCCCGGGTCCCCGCGCAGTCCCGGGAGGAGGCGCAGGGAGCCGGTCAGAGCGATGAGCCAGCCAGGGAGCCGGAGCCCGACGTCCCCGGCGAGTTCGGCGCAGCTGGGGCGCTCCCAGCCCTCCTCCCCGCGCGCGGTCGCCGCGGCTCTTAAAGGGCCAGTGCTCTGTCTGCGCGCGGCCGCGGGCGGGGGGCGGGGGGCGGGGGCCGGGGGCGGTGTCTTCGGCGGAAGCTTCTTGGTAGCAGGTGCCGGCGGTGGGGCCGGACAGGCGGTCCTTTCACCCCTTCCAGGCGGCGGGAATCCTCCCCAGCCCACCTCCTTCACCCCGATCCCTGCCTTTGGAGAGTGGGGTGGATCCCTGAAGTGACCCCCCGCCGAGCGGGTAAGGAGAAACGAAGACTCCCACTGCTCCCACCCGGGGGGTGGGTGGGGCTACTGAGGCTACGGGTGGGCAGGAAGGAGGGCTGGGAGGAAGGACCCAGTATCCTGTTTTAGGCTGAAGCAGCAGCAGCAACAACAAAAGATAAACAAAATCTAGGGATTTGTTGTTTTCTCAAAACCCCGCAAGTCTTTGCCTCTCCCAGTGACTTTTCTTAATTGCAAAGGGAGGGGTTGGGCATGTTGCGTGTGCCTGCAGGGAGGCCACGCACGGGTTTAGGAGGGGCAGGTAGCGACTTGCGTTCCCTCTGACCTGGGGCACGTGGGCACGTGGCTTCACTTTCCTGAGCCTCCGTGTCCTTCCCTGGGACGTGGGCCGAGGGTTAGGTGTGCTTCCGGTCTCGGGCCTGGCACACCTCAGGTTCCCAAGTGGAGGACACTGTTGTGCCAGTGAACTGTGCCAGTTGGGCCTGACAAGGTGCTGGGCTGGGGGGCAAATCTTCCCGCCGCCGAGCGGAGCTTGCAGTGCGAGATTAAACCCTGCCCTCCATGTGGACCTCAAAAATCAAAAGCCTTGAGGTCCCTAGTCCAGAGTCTGAAGAGGCTGTGTGCCCACGGCAAGCACGGCCCTGGCCCAACACATCAGTGTCAGGGTTTGGATGTGAAGGCGCCCCGCAGGGCAGGAGGGCTGAGACCTTCCTTCCCCTCTGCCACCTCCCAGCCCGGAAATGGGAGCTTTCCTCACCACGGGAGCTTTCTCTTGAACTCTCCGTCTCCCCACCCCCACAAGCCTCACCTCCCGGAAATGGGCAGAGATCTGGCAGAGTTTGATAATTGGCTTGTTTCACCCACCTGCCAGGTGGGAAAAAAGAGCACCATTAAAGAGAACAGGCTGAAGTTAAAGCGGCAAAGATAGAATGTAAAACACAAAACAAGCCCGGCCAGTGTGGCTCAGTGGCTGAGCATCAACCTATGAACCAGGAGGTCATGGTTCGATTCCCCGTCAGGGCACGTGCCTGGGTTGCAGGCTCGATTCCCAGTGTGGGGTGTGCAGGAGGCAACCGATTGACGATTCTCTCTCATCATTGATGTTTCTATCTCTCTCTCTCCCTCTTCCTTTTCTCTCAAATCAATAAAAAAGAAATTAAAAGAAAACAAAAACAGGAAACTATTGCAATAAAGGAAGAGAGACTCAGTATAGAACTGGGCCTGATTCCCAACACAACCAGTAACAACTGGGGATGTACAGCTGAGGAGCAAAGGGTGGGGCTTTGGTGGATGGCAAATGACTAAGAGGAGACATCAAGCCTGGGGGTATTCTGGCCGAGGCGATCAGATATCACCGGGGGGCAGGGGGGTTCTAGAGGTTGACCAGATATTAAAGGTGAGGATTTCTCATTAAACTGACTTAGCAGGTTTCTTGCTACAACCGGATCCTACAGAGAGTACAGGCATGGACGCTGCTGGGGAGAGGGCTCAGGGGCGCCACTAAAGGCTGATCAAGCAAAGAATCCTTGCAGTCCCCTCTTGTTCAAGGGAAGAACCGTTCTTTTTTGCTCTGAACAACGTTAAGTCCATGTCTCACTTGGTTGCCTTTGTTACCTTAGAACCAGCTGGACCATCTGTTGAGACTTGGTGACAGTGGATGATGACTATACTATACGACCCACAAGCCATGTAATGGGAGGGATACTTTGAAGATAAACGGAAAGACGAAGATTAAAGGCTGAACCGGCTTGTGTGCCCCCGCCTTGTAGACCTTCATGGACAGACTGGAAGAAGTCCGTGACCTGTTGCCCTTCCTCTGCGGTGATGCGGGCATTTCTCCGTTACGGCAAAGATGTCAGGTGGGTTGCAGGGGACAGGGGTGCGGCAGTCGCTTCCGATCACTGTGCAAGTGCCCCCTTCTGCAGCCAGGGTCCCGTGAAGGGCGATGCCAGGATGGAGAACATGGAGCTTGGTTTCTCATAGTTGGGCAGTCACCAGGTCAAGGCCAGTGGTTAACCAGGGACAAGGTGGATTGCAAGGTCAACTGCCTAAGCCATGAATGTGGTTGTCCCCCCCCTTATCTGTGATTTCACTTTCCATGGTTTCAGGTACCTGCGGTCAGTCGTGGTCTGAAAATATTAAGTGGAAAATTCCAGGAAGAAACAATGCATACGTGCCCTGGCCAGTTTGGCTCAGTGGTTAGAATGTTGGCCTGTGGACCGAGGGTCAAGGGCTTGGTTGCAGGTTCCCCAGCTCCAGTAAGGGCATGTCGGGGAGGCAGCCAATCGATGTGTCTTTCTCACGTTAATGTTTTCCTCTCTCTTTCTCCCCCTCCTCCCTCCCTTCCACGCTCACTAGAAATCTATGGAAAAAATATCCTGGGGTGAGGATTAAAAAAACAAGGCGTATATTTTAAGTTGCCATCGTTCTGAGCAGTGTGATAAAATCTCGTGCCGTCCTGCTCTGTCTTGCTAGGGACGTGAATCATGCATGGGGCATGGTCCCAGGCTTGGGAACCACTTAGATTTCTTGGGTGGTGGGGGACGAGGCTGCTAATTTAGCATATTTATCAGCCCATCTATTTCCTCAGGCCTCATCTGAATTTTTTGTGTTATGTCCCTCAGGTTTCTTTTTATTTTAAAGGTTTTAAATTGATTTTTAGAGAGAGAGGAAAGGAGAAGGAGAGAGAGAGAGAAAAAACACACACAACATAGACATCTATTGGCTGCCTTCTGCACGAGATTGAGCCCGAAACCTGGCATGTGCCCTCACTGGGAATCGAACTGGCAACCATTTGGTGCATGGGACAGTGCCCAACCAACTGAGCCACACTGGCCAGGGCTGCCCCTCAGTTTTAACTGCAGTGATCTGCTGGGGCAGTAACAATGCTCTAGAAATTATGCTGTTTGGGGTCCGTCTGTTACTGGGGTACCAGCTGCTGTCAAGAATCCTCTGTGTTTCTATAACATACCCAAACCAGGCACCAGCCCACAGGCACAGCGGATATCAGCGTGAATGTTAACCTTCCCTCTGCTCCTGTGCAAGCTGAGTAAGAGCCACGAATTCAGTGACGTGGGCTGATTTGGCATTGGGCAGGACTCGGTGTTCTAGAACTTCATGTTGGACTGTAACAGCATATCCAGCCTCCTTCGGGAGGTGAGAGTCATGGACGGGAAGAGGAAGGTCAGCTTGGGAGAGGGGGTTTTCTGGTAAAGCTAGCCTAGGACAGGATAATGATCTGGTGTGAATAATACAGTTGTGGGGCGTCCCACCTGTGGGCAAAGGAGGCAGGGTTAAGACAGTGACAGTGATGTATGGTGATGGGAGAGGGAGGAAGGAGTAAGATTTCATAGGAGGTAAGCTGAGACGCAGAAAAGTGCCATATATTTTATTAGGCGACGGGGTCTGCATAGCCTACGGAATGTGTATGTCAAGCGGGTGACCTAACACTACATCAGAGGTAGCTTAGACAAGTGTGGTGGTTGCAGCCATGGCTCACAGGAGGATATGCCTTGGTCTCTGGGTCAAAGGCCAAACTGTAATATCCCAGGGGTCTTTGGTGTCCATTATGTTTCAGGGATAACATTCCAAGGGCATGACCCTCTGCTTCATGCACAAGCAAAAGGCAGGGAGTAACTGAGAAGTCCAAGGATGGGAGGTGGAAGAGGTTGAGCATCGACCTATGAACCTGGAGGTCACAGTTTGATTCCTGGTCGGTGCACATGCCCAGGTTGCGGGCTCGATCCCCAGCGTGGAGCCTGCAGGAGGCAGCTGATGGATGATTCTCTCTCACCATTGATGTTTCTATCTTTCTGTCCCTCTCCCTTCGTCTCCTGGGTCTGGGGATGCTTCCCTAGTCATGGCATAGAGGAGTGAGGCAATCATGGAGAAATGAGGCATCCACATCGGACCCCACAAGACCTAAAACACTTCTCCGTTGTCGTTTTCTGGGAGAAGAAAATGTTGAATTGTAGAGGCTCTGTCTGTGGAGACAGGTTACCTGCAGCTGAAATATCATGACCCAGATACAGAGAGAACAGTTAGAGAGTGTCTCTAGCCACCTTGTGGCCCTTCCTCACTGCTGGCTTAGGAAGGCGTTCCGTGTCCCGAGGACTTGTCACGACTGTGAGAACAGAGAAGGAGGTCATCTGCATATTGGCTTACAGTGGAGGCTCCTGGGAACTTCAAGTCCCTCCACTTGGCAATTAGGGTGTGCAAGAAGGAAGGAGGAGGAGCCTCCGTCAATCTTTGGGGCATAACAGTGCAAGTACATTGTTGGTTATCCCAGGTGAAGGCAAACAAGTATTGGGATGCCGTACAGAGGGGGTCCTAAACCAGACGGAACACGAATAAGGACTGAAACGCTGGGTGTTGGAAGGGACATCTGACAGGATAGTGTTGGGATTAGGTGCCGAGGCCAATCTGGGTTTGACGACTTCATTGATAGATCGCAGATCTCGGACTAACGCGTGCCCTTGCCTATTTGGTTTTTTGACAGCCAAAAGGGGAGTATTGCATAGACTAGGAGTGGGGACCAGACGTGTTTTGTCTAACAAACCTTGGGTTATTGGGCAGAGTCAGTCCCTCAAGTCCTTCTGGCTTTGAATGGCGCTGGGAAATCATGGGTGGGGGTGGGGGCAGGGGCAAGCAGACTGGATGGAGGCAAAGGTCTAGGTCGCACTGTCTGATGGTGGTTATGATCCAGATCCCAGTAATGGCATGAAGAACTGTTAAAGAGAACCAGAGTTGACAGAAGTTAAAGTGGTAAAGATGGATTTTAC